GTCCGCTTATGCGGACTCGCACCTGTGCATAATGCCTCATAGGTGTGACACACCAACACCAAAACTGCCTCTTAACTCCAAAATGATCTGGAATCCATAGGAAACACACCTTAGCCCTCCGGGAAACCCTGTCCAATCATACCAACAAGTCCTAATACCTCAATCAAACTTATCTAAAGGATCTAAATATCGTAATTAACATCAAAACCAAGAATCGTCGATCAAGATCAATCTCTTAAGTTTCAAACCTTCTAACTTCCACAAACATGTCCTAACCATGCCTGAACATTTTGAATTTCAACCTAACTATGCACACAAATCTCGAATGACAAAATAAATATATTCCAAGTCTCAAACAATAGTCTGAACCGGTATCATGAAAATCAACCTCCGATCAAACTTAGAAACTCTCCAAACTTTCAAGTTGCCAATTTTCGGTAAATAGAGCCCAAACATCATAGAAAACTCCAAATCCAAATTCGAACATATGTCTAAGTCCAAAATCACCGTATGAACCTATTGGAACCATCAAATCATCAATCCAAGGTTGTTCACATAAGAGTCAAACCTTGATCAACTCTTACAACTTAAACTTTCAAAAATAAAACTAAGTGTTCCAATCACTCTCAAATCTTCCCAAAACCAACTTGACCATCCCCTCAAGTCACCAAATATCAAATACACATATAGGGAATATTAAATAGGGAATGACGCTAAAATACACAAAATAACTCGCCAGATCGTTACACTATAAGTCCAATACTCACTAGGCATTGTCCATACACCCAATACATTTGCTAAACCATTGTCATAACACTTTCTATTTGAAAGTGGTTTTACTATGTTTGACTTGTTAATCTTAGGGCATTTATTAATACTTCTGTTCCATTTTCTTGGTAATGATTTTATTATTTGCATAAATATTTTATTTGGATGATTGTGGTGGAAATGAGAAACTATTATGAAAATCTGACATGAATAATTTATTTGAATGTCCATTTATTGTAAGGCGAAGAAGAAGCTCAACTTATAGGCTCGAACCGAAAATTCAAAACCGAACTTAAAAAATCCAATACAATACAAGCTTATTTGGATTGGATTTGGATTGTGATTTCTTCAACCCGAAAATAAAAAATTTAAACCAAAATTTTTATATCCAATCTAAATTACCCGAACACCCACCGCTAGGTCTCTCAGTTAGGCAGGTTTATACTATTTCTTCATTTGGTTAATTTGTATTTTAGAAATTTAAAAACAAAAACTGAAAAAATTAAATTATGTAATATATTGTCACGCCCGACCTCGGGGAGCGCAATCTGCGCTCAACCGAGATACCCTGGTTAAGCAAGCCTGCTAGATGCCTTATACCTAACCTTGACCATTAACAATATAAGAATCGGTACAAGTGATAGACATGAGAAGAGTCAAGCGTTCCGCAATCTTTTTCATTACTAAAGGATATTTATTTATGATTTCTAAAATATTACAAGTTTCTAGATATGATAAAAAACATGTTTGCCCAAATACCAACACTTACTAGTTTAATTTCCAACATCATACACCACCCACGACCTATCTACGGAGCCTCTAAGTACAACAAAAGAGTAGTATGGAAGTGTCGGCGATAAGGCCCCGGCTACACCTCAAAACATAAAGTACAACGTCAAATGACGTGAAGCCCGAAACATTGTAAGCTCACCAAAATCTGCCGAATAGAGAGTAACTGCTAACGAGGATCAAAACCGGCCGCTGACGAACCACCTGCATCCATTGAAGATGCAGCGCCCCCGGCAAAAGGGACGTTAATACATATAGAATAGTACTAGTATATAAATCTAAATGTCCTCTTTCAAAATAGAATGCCAATATAAGAAAAGAAAAAACCATAGAAACAACAAGTCACAATCAACAATACCCAAATGCCCAGTTAAAACATAATAATTTTCAAAATGCGAAAATAATATATATTTTTTGTTGGGAAATCATTAGCATCGATATACCACCGTGTTTTTAACATGGAGTCCGATCACGACCGATCGACTAGGCCATCTCCCCACGAACAATGTGGTTTGACATGTGATGCGAAGAAAGGTGTTGCCAAGAGTAGTACCACCATGTGCGCAACATGCCATCCGATCTCCACCCGTTCGGCTAGGCCGCCTTCCCACATATGCCGTGTGGGTTGACTTTCTAATTCACATCTAATATCAATCACATCTCAATTAAGAGGAATAGTCACAATCACCTCAATATTTCAATCTCATCCCAAATAAGGGGAATAATCACAATCCACCCCTACAACGGCACGCGTAGTTTCGGGTGTGGGCCTTATGACCCACCCTTCCTCGGTTTGCTAATGATACTCCCAAAATTTATTTTGCACACAAGGGAAATAAAAGTATAAATATATTTTATATTCACCTCTTAACCTTTCACCTTATATATATAGCTTCGTTAGTACTTTCAACCATTCATAACATTATTATTTCCTTGGCTCTCTTGGCCATACTTATGATTCTTCACTCATGGCACATTGGCCGTATTTCATATTCCACATTTTCATTTCTTTACTTTCATGGATCATCATCATAAATATCAACAAATAGAATATTTCGAAAATCACAACTTTAGGTTTATTATAAGGAAGACTTTAAACACAATGGATTTCTTTCCAAGAAATGGAGTAGAATAATTGGCAATCGAAGCACAAGTTAAAATCATAGGCAATCGAAGCATAAGTTAAAATCATAAATGATTAACACATCATTTATTCTTTAAATACTTTTTCCCAAAAGGGCAATACTCAATTTTAACTCATGAAGATATAAGAGCTCAAAACACATTGGAAATATTTACAAAGCATAGCATTAGTTAAACACAACCATATTTGGGCATAACTTGGGTACATAAGCTTTTAGGCAAATCTATTTTCGAAGTCAGTTTGGAACAGTTGAATCAAGGCTTATTTCATAACTTTTCTTGCAGCATTTCATTTCCTTGACACCATTGACCACACTTTATATCTCCAACCCACTTCTTTCACTTTCAAGCATCCTTATAGATTATCAACAACAAGGGATTTCAACTCAAGACTTTAAATACACATTTGAGCAACTAACCAAATTAAGGGTCTTACACACATGCGATTTCTTACACGATTCGACATGCTAGTTTTCATTAAAATCATGTTTTCAAATCATAACATATTAACACAACCCACGCTTAATCACCTTCTCAAATAGTAACTCAACATAACAAGAACACTTGGAATACAAATTGAACGCATATATCTCTTGACACAAGGCTTATTCGGAATAATCAATTTATAATGAGAAACACGGGATTTACAAGGCCATTGTGAGGTTCAATTCTAAAAGAGGAGTTTAGCCAATATACCTTGTTTGAGCTTTCCTTAAGTTACTACAACGTCCCAACACTTCTAGCAATAACAAAATATAGGAAGGTAGCAAAAATCGAATAATCATTAGAAGGATTCGCATGGTGTAACTCTCTTAGGAATTTTGTCAAACACCTAGTATGCAAAATAGACTACAAAGTTCTACAATGGTAATCCCTTCTTCCCTCAACCAATTTCAACAAGAACTACCCAAAATGGTCCATTAACCCCACATACTACAACCTATTAACACGTACATGGCCTAATTCCAATCCCACAATATACTTAGACCCTAAAATAACTTGTATGTGTGGTATAGGACAGGAACCTACCCTGATAGATGGTGGTCTAACTATTGACTTCCTTGATTCTTGAAGGTTGGTGCAAGATTGGATGATTAGAACGCTAGGTTTCCACCTTCTCTCTCTAAAATGCTCTTACCTCTCTCTAAAAATTATCAAACAATCGTTTCAAAATAAGCCACAAAGGTTGTTTATTAAAATGGGGCCGGGTTATAAAAATAGGAAAATGGACCCTCCGAACTCAGGTCTGCGATTGAAGAATGGACAGTATAACAGATATGCGCCCCGCAAAATGGGCTGAAAAAATGATGCCAAGAACTGGGCTGGTCTGGACTAGTCTGCGACAGGTCTGCGGTCCGCAGACCAATTATGCGGCCGCAGAGTGGACCGCAGAATCGCCCAACGAGATTCTTCATGCCAAATTTGCGATGAAAAATGCGGACCGCGAAATGAATATGCGATCGTAGAATGGACCGTAGAACAACCTTCAAAATTCAACAAATTCTCTGCTCAACTCCGCGATGATTATGCGGCCCGCGAAATGGTTCTGCGATCGCGAAATTGATCGCAGAATCGCCTTCTTCAGCAAAAAATTTCCATCAACTCCTCAATGCATTTTCAACCCAAAGAATCCGTACACATAAGCCTATATCGGCACAACAAAACCTTAACTTCCTTGGCGACATTTTACACGGCCTTACATATATAGTACTATATATACATATTATTTTCATATAAAACTATTTGATTATTGGTACATGGTTAGTAAAGGAATCAAATAGTATTAAATAATACCTACTACTTTAATTATGATATTAGGCGTACAAACTTATTAGCTTCTTAGCTATAAGAGACTAGTAATGTTTGTCTATCTCAATCAAAGATGCTTTACTATCTTATTAATAGTATCGATTATTTTAACCATGTGAATTGAATTTAGAAAACATATTAAAGAGATTTGATATTACAACTTTTCATTCAGTGTCATAGTTATTCTTTTTTTTTGTCATTCATATATATATAACTATTAGATTATTTTGGATTCTTATTATCTTATACGTTACAACTGAATAATCGAAAAATCAAATTGAAAAAAGACTAAACCGGAAAGAAACAAACTGAATCTAACTAAATTTATTTCAGTTCGGATTAGAGGACATCTTTTCAAAACCTTAAAACGAAAAATCAAAACGGAACAATGCAAAACAAACCGAAAAAGTGGATGCACACCTTATTCTTTAGGGGGGAAAAGGAGAGACAGCTAGGAATTTAAGGGGGTTAAGGGCACAGCAAGAACTAATGTGGGGGTAAAGTAAAAATTTCATAAATGGGAAGAGCATCCCTTTCTCGGACGATATAATTTCTTTCCCTCTCTTCCTCTCTTTCACTCTCTCCAATTTCTCCGATCATGCCACGGAAGGTAATTCTCTCCTCTCAGCTTGTATAAACATTGATAATTGCTCTGATTATTTTCTCTTTTTTACATCAGTTGATTTTGCTATTAATAGTATGTAATTTCCGATTAAGCTTTTTCCAAGTTCCCGCCCTCCATTTATTATAACTAGTTAGTTACTATGTTATGTTACTTCTTGTACAGTAATTTAACTTAAATGATATTGCGATTGTTGCTTCATTGTGTGTGTGCATTGATGTCTTTTAATGTCACTCCACTTGATTTTATAGCTACATATGCAAATTTCTGTATGTGGAAAGTGTACTTTAGGTGATAAAATGGGCAAATATATAGCATCAAAGTCTTTCTAGAAGGGGATATCGGTTCAGTGTCTGCTTAAGATGGCCAACTTCCAGCCGAACAAGTCCAAATTAAGGAAAAGGAAGTTCTTTTTAAATGTAAAGTAGCACTGGAATAAATTAGTTCTGCGTCATTGTTGTTTATCATTAAGAATATTACTGAATAGGGAGCTCAAAAAATTTAATTGGAAGAACTTTCTCTCCTTTCCTGGAAAGAGGATCATTGACTACTGGGCATGATATGGGGAGAATATTCTTATAACTTATAGAAATAACTAATAAGTTTATTTTGCGGAAGCCATCTATGCACATGAGATAAACAAGAAGAGAAGGGTGGTTGCACTTCACTTGTTATGTATTTTTCAATTGAATCACATAATGCCCCTCTACCTCGACCTTATGTAACATGTGGACTGCACTGAAATTGGTAACTTTTCTATCCATTACAGAGGCAAAAGAAAATAAGCTTCTCTTCACGTGTTTTTTCTTTGATCATTAGTTGTCGTGCTTTCCTTTATGGTGTCTTTTGCCCCCCGTCTATCCATGATACCACAGTGGTAAACATTGCTAGCTAATAACATTCTGTTATAGGATGTTTCTTAGTTTTTCTTTTCCTTATTCATCTTTATATCCAGCAGTTATTACATGATTCAATAGCTTTCCAGCGTGTTTCTCTTCTAAAACTGAAAAGAAACGATAAGAAAAATGAAACTGCACAGAAGAAGTTACTGGAATTTGTAATTTTGGCAAGAGAAGAGGATGGATATGAGCAAGATTGAAGTAGCCAGAAAGATAGAAAAAAATAGCAAGAGGAGAGAGAGTAATTAGAAGGATGGACTAAGCAGCTTCTGAGTAGCACTATGGCCTCATAACTGAGGAAGCTTCTGATTGCCATATAGCAACTGTATTAGTAACTTCCAACAATATTCTCTCACTGTTTACATTAAAATGCAGACTTCAAGGCAAAATGTGGCATCATGTGTCATTGACAGTAAAAAAGAGAACCTTTAAAAGAGTTCAGTTACAGAAAGCTTGGTTTGGGTATGCCACCTATCTTCCTTTCGACCAATTTTAGAGTCATAGTTATGCAGGATGAATTGTGTTTATTTATTTTCTTGCATGTGTATTTAATTAGATCAAATTCAAGTCAAAGTTGCAGCATGCCCTGAAGAGAAATCCAATGGTTTTCAATAAGAGAGCATGCAATGGTGTAGGTGCTCTTACCATGCCTTAGTGCTTAGTTATGATTAATTTTCAGCTGATAATCTCACTCAGATGTGTGGGTTTATTGTTTTGTGCATTAGGTTGTGAGTTGCTTGAACTTCATCCATGCCTTTTATGCTGCGGCTTGTTTGATGGAGAGGTTAAGCGTTTGATTCAGTCATCTTTGGGTAGGTAACGGTGACATTTATTCTCATGACAATTCACTTTGGTTCCTTTTTTTGGTTCTACAAGTGAAGTCCCCATATTTTTATTTCATTTTTCCCGTTTATTTATGCTGTTCTTGGTGAGCATGTTCAGAACAGTACTCAAAATGCACTGTTAGCTAGAGGATCAGCCTCTCTGTCATCCTCACTTCTTCTAAACAAGCCCCGGTCTGAACTTGCTCTTTGGTAATGGAGATAAAGGCTTCCATTTTGTTGCTTTATATGGGTATAGACAACCAAGACTTTATGCTCTAATCCTAAACTAGTTGGGATCAGCTGTACACTCCTCTGTATTCATTCTGCTTTATTTGGAGTAGTTTCATTTCAATACTCAATAATTTATCTTTTCTAGAACTAGATGCTCCTTAAATTTCACACATTACTTAAGAATTCATCATAATTTGATAATTTTATGCTGAAGCTGAGATGTAGAATCTTTCTCCTTTATCCGGACCTGAGAAGACACCTATACATAAGCTCATGTAGGTGAAGTTATGGATATAGACAACACATGCTAAACATTCTTTTTTTTGGAATGGTATTAATATGTTAAGTACTAGGGCAAATGATATAGATATTCCTTAAAATGAAGAGTAGTATTGTTTCATCCTTCATTATGGTCATTCCTTTGCTGCGATCATGCACTTCCCAAAAGTAGGTTTGAGATCATTTGGGATTAAGACATGTTGATGGCATCGACCAAGATATTTTAACTTGTTTTGCCTTTTTTGACGTGTTGTTTCATCTATGAGTTAAATGGCGTGATACTACACTTTTTGTTTAATTCTCTTTCCTCCACTAGTTTGCATTCTTGTGTAGTGATGAATAAAGACAAATCAATATTTTATTGAGTAAAATACCATTAAAGTATGAGAAATATTTCTGTCAGATTTTCATATATACTAGTAGACTTTGTTTTTTATGTTTGTTTTTTCGAAAACAAAAGAGTAAACTTCTTATTGGCTTGATTGGTTAAGAATGTAAAAGAGGGACTCTTTATATAAGAATCTTAGGTTACGTACAATATGGTAGGTAAAATCTAGATTTATGCCTGCTACCCAAACTAATTGGGATCAGCATATGAATACCACTGTTCATTTCGCTCTATTTGGCCCGGTTTATTCCAATATTGAATGAAGGGTTTTCTATCACTAGATATTCTCTACATTTTGTATTGACACAGATATCTCTAACCAGATTAAGAAGACTCCCTCACAGTACTTGACAAGTAGCTGTTACCTATGTAGATCTTTTGCTTCTATTATATCAAGTAGGTGTCACCTATGTTGGTCTTTTGCTTCTATTATGTCTTATTTGCCCTACTTTTGCATAGATTCCAAGAAAATGTAGTGTTTTTCAGAGTTTTTTCATGTGATTTTAGATGTATATCATTCCTTTTTAATAGGTTCATGCTTTCACACTTGCGGATCAATGCATTTGGAGGTCTACATAGGAGATGATTGAAAGACTTCAAGCGTCTTTCTCTCTTTTTATCCTCTATGTGTGCTATTTGCACATTCTGTTGGATGTGATATTTCTGAGCTTGTCTAATAAGGTAAGTAAGTATTCAATAGTTAAGTAATTAATGTCTTAAGGTATCTATATAGTATTCTATAGTATTTTTCTTATTCATGTAGTGAATCATGACATATGTGAATCTAGGCATATACTATCTTAACGTTCAACATGCCAGTTCAAACTCAAAGTGGCGAAAGAATCTTGAGTTTGCTTATTATGAACATAGAAAACTGCCACTGAAATCTTGTAGGAAAACTGCTACTGGGATAATGGTCAGAGAGATGCACGCTGCAACAAAGATGATTCATTATATTCCATCCATTGGACCATATCCCAATTCCATTCATTTAATATCCCTTTGGTGTCATTGGTATAACAGATGCTCTTCTATTCCATCTCTTTCTATTCTTTTCTTTTCTATATACGGAAAGTTCAACTGGAAAAAAGAGCAGTGGGACGCAGGAAGAAGAGAGACATTGCGCCTTAAGCAGAGAAACAAGAGCGCTGGTTGTTAGAGAGAGGAGGGGTGCTGGTAGGAGTGTTCATCTTTCAGTTTGCTTTTTATCAAATTTCGTTTCAGTTCTCAGTTTTTGGTGAAACTGAACTGAAATAAATATGGTTAGGTTTGGATTTTCTCGTTATGGTTCGGCTATTTCATTTTTGTTTCGACTTAACTAGGCCTTCCGAAATTGGGCCTCGAAAATAATTTACTTAGATATAGAAGTAAATTCATATTTCAATTGGTTTGGTAATTCTTTTTATAGAATATCGAACACAAACCAACAACAACAACAACTACGCCTCAGTCCCAAACAAGTTGGGGTCAGTTTTATGAATCCTCACTTCTTCATTTAAGCTCAACTGCTATAATCATCATACCAAATGAAGTAAAAGTGAAAAATAAGCTATACAATAATAATAATAATAATAGTAGAAGTTCTCTAATAAGTCTAAAACCTATTCCCTACTAGTACATATCACCAATATGGATCTTTTTCTTTTATTGTGTCCTATCTTTAGCTAAGTCTACATTGACTCCAAAGATTTGTACATATTTCAAGCCAATTTCGTTTCCATGGGATTTTATGTCTACCCCATCCTTGTTTAACACTTTCACTCATTTTAGCTTTACACCTATGGACCGGCGCATCTGTAGGTCGGCGCTGGACATGACCAAACCATCTCAAGCGTTGTTCTCTCATTTTATCCTCAATGCATGCTACTTGCACCTTTTGGTGAATGTGATCATATTTAATCTTTTATCTTATCTTGTATGACAACACATCCATCTTAGCATCCGTATCTCTACAATACTCATCTTGTGGATATGTTGGACTTTAGCAGCCCAACATAAAACATTTACTACCATATAACATTGCCGATCTTAGCAGTCCGGCGTTCACTACCATATAATATCGAAACCGAATTAAGTTATTATATTATCAAAACTGGATAAATGAAAATTTTGGTTCAGTTTTTACACAATTATGAACAGTCCTAGGCACTGGTTGTCTCAACTTCAGGTATCCATTAGCAATCAAATCTGCATTATTAATTTTCCTTCCCCTAACAATGGTCGTTTGAAAATCTAGAACAATTTAACGCTGAAACTTTCATCCTTTCTACCAGCATGTTTGGAGATAATCTTACACACGCTCACACTAGGTTGTTAGGCTATAATCCTTTCAACCCAAATACAGCTTTCTTCTTGGAAATTAGAGCTATGAAGGAAGTATTAAACTCTTTCTAAACACTCCTCTTTGATAATAGAATTTTAGCTTCCAATGCCATTTGTATAACCACTGTGGAACCTGAGCGAAAAGCCGCTGGGCACTAGACGTTTGTTTCCTCCACACCCTTTGATGATAGCTTCTACTTCCTCTTCTTCAATGGTCGTTGTGGTCAGTCATTCTTGTATGTTATCTTTGGAAGATCCTCATTCCTCATAATCTAGCCTTAATCCATGATTTGAATAGGTCATTTGTGTTAGAAATCCAGGTTATAACAATAAATTTTCTTCAACACAAAGATGTTATTAGAAGCTCAAAATTTCTTCCTATAATATCTGGTTCTTCCACTGTCTTGACTCCTGCCAACCACCTCCACCCTTTATAATTCTGTTGTTGGACCCTCCTATTTGCATTTGCAATCCTTTGAAAAAAGAATTCTGTTTTATCCCCACACTTATATCACAAAACACTTTATCTCTGTCGCAAATATATTCCTCCTCCTCTGCCATTTTTTGCAACTCCTCTAGTAGGGAACTTTTTCTGCCTTAGTTCCTCATCTGTCAAGCTATAGGTTTTAGTTTTCCAATCTCCCAGTATGTTCAAAATCTCTCTTCTTGGTTTCTTCCTGTCTATGAACGTTCCAGCTCTGCTTTTTAAGATCTCCCTTAACAGCTTTTTAGCTAATATATAATTTGTCCCGCCTCTAACTCTATTGGAAGACCACCAGTTACTAGCGAGATCCGTAAATCCATATGCATCCATTAATTCTCAAAATTAAAATACAAATTACTTATTCCCAATTATCACATCCAAAACTATAGTTTTGTCTTGTTGTGTCCCTGGATGCTTTGATCAATAAAACTACAATTACTTCAAAAAAAGTATAGGTTTGTGATATGATGTTGGATTAGGCAAGGTGTATTGCTTGATCTTCTTAACCTGCTCATCCTATTCCAATGAAAATAAAATCTATTAACCCTGGTAGCTGCTGGTCTATCACCTCCTTGTAACCCAGTAAATCTACTCTCCTTAAGTAGGGATCAGATTTAGCTTTAAGATGAAATTTGAGAAACCCTCACTGAATTTAGTCATATTTGGCAGGTTTCACTTTCTGCATAACATATCTTAACAAGTAACATTGAAAAGACCTTTTATTGCTGCTCATTCAAACCACATATACTTCCTTTTCCATAAAATTGTGGCCCATTAACTCAATAAAGGACCACATTTGCAATTGTAGTTAACGCTTGAAAAAGTGACAGAACTAGAAAAGTGTTAAGTGTGTGACCACCTAATCAGTAATCATGAACTTTTAAAGAGGGGCATTTTATTTGTTTTTTCATGTTATAATATGTTTCCTCATGTGCATGCCTAATTCCTTTCTTTGACCAAACACCTAGAGATAATTTTTTTTTCCGTAGATAGCGGTGAGACCTGAACCGAGGAGTGCATTGATGCCATTTGAAGAAAGAAAAGAAAACCTCTTATTAGTTTGATTGATTAACAAGGTACAAGAGGGGTTTCTTATATAAGATTCTAGTCAAATTTACAGTATAATATGCAATCATTCTCTATGCTTAAGACAACATATAAATATTATATAATTAAATGCATAATATCCTTATAAACAACAACAATAAAAAACCAGTGTACTCCCACAAGTGGGGTTTGGGAAGGGTAGTTAGTACACAACCTTACCCCTACCTCATGCAGGTAGAGAGGCTATTTCGGATAGACCTTTGGCTCAAGACAAACATACATAATCACAACAATATATAGAAAGAATGCAATAGTGTGAAAGTCAGGGAAACAATAACAATAACAAGATAGTAGAAAAACCAAAACGCAAGCAACATCAGATAGTAATAGAAATCTAAGAGTATGGAAAAACTAGAGTACATTACTACTACTAGAATAAAAGGAGAGACACTTGACTGCCTACTAATCTTCTACCTTAATTCGCGCCCTCTATACCCTCGTATTAAGGGTAGGAGGGTATGAAGGGTATAGAGGGTCATTTCATCGGTAAGCTGAAGATACGCCATGTCGTGCCTAATCACCTCTCCCCAATACTTCTTCGGCCTACTTCTACCTTGCCTCAGACCCACCATCGCCAATCTCTCACGCCTTTTTACTGGGGCATCTGGACATCTCCTCTTTACGTGTCCGAACCATCTCAGCCTCGTAAACTGCATCTTGTCCACTACTGCGGCCACACCTACCTTGTCCCAAATATCTTCATTCTTGACCATATCTCTCCTAGTATGCCCACATCCATCTCAACATCCTCATATTCGCTACTTTCATCTTCTGGACATGAGAGTTCTTGACGGGCCAACACTCCGTCCCTTACAACATAATTGGTCTAACTACCACTTTGTAGAACTTATCTTTAAGTCTTGGTGGTACATTCTTATCACACAAGATACCGGATACTTGCCTTCATTTCATCCATCTTGTTCCAATACGGTGTGTGACATCATCGTCGATCTCCCAATTGCCTTGGATCACTGACCAAAGGTACTTGAAACTTCCTTTCTTAGGGATGACTTGCGAGTCCAACCTCATTACCAGTGGCAGAGCCAGAATTTTCATTGAGGGGTATCAAAATATATAAAAGTAAACATACCAGGAAATTAAGGGGAGTCAATACAAGTATATATACATATAATTCATTTTTTTACCTACTTACATAATATATTTTTTGCACGAAGGGGTGTCATTCCTATAAGGTGGCTCTGCCACTGCTCATTACCACGCCAGTCTCCTGAGTTGCGTTACTGAACTTGCACTCCAAGTATTCTGTTTTAGTCCTGCTTAACCTGAAGCCTTAAGACTCCAGGGTCTGTCTCCAAACATCCAGCTTAGCTTTAACTTTGCCTTGCGTCTCGTCATTCCCTACTATGTCATCTGCAAATAACATGCACCATGGTACCTCCCCTTGAATGTGAAATGTCGATATATCTATCGCCAAGGCAAATAGAAATGGGCTAAAGGGCTGATCCTTGGTGTAACCCCATCATGACTGGGAAGTGTTCCAAGTCTCCTCCACTGTCCTCACCCGGGTCTTTGCTTCATCATACATGTCTTTAATCGCCCTAATGTATGCTACCGGTACACTTTTAGCCTCCAAACATTTTCATAAAGCCTCCCTTTGGATTTTGTCGTATGCTTTTTCTAGATCAATGAACATCATATGCAAGTTCTTTTTCCTCTCCCTATACTGCTCCATCAATTTCCTCACAAGATGGATGACTTCCATGGTGGAACGTCCCGACAATGAATCCGAAATGGTTCTCGAGAATAG